CAGTGATTTAGGCCATTTTTGAGAATTTTCAATTCAATTAACTCAGCATGCAGGTTGTTAAAATTGAAGGTCATGAAGCAGATGATGTAGTAGCAACACTAGTTGAACAAGTTCTACAAAGAGGATATCGAGTTGTCATTGCCTCTCCGGACAAAGATTTTAAGCAGCTAATATCGGAAGATGTTCAGATTGTTATGCCTGTGCCTGAATTGGATAGATGGTCTTTTTACACCCTGAAGCACTACATAGCTCAGTACAGTTGTGATCCACAGTCTGATTTAAGCTTACGTAAGTATCTGATTTTTCCTCTGGAAGATTTTACTTTGCTGGGAACTACTTAACTGGGACTTTCCAAGGTGCCTATGGATAAAATAGTCAATAGGTTTAATATTTCAAGATAGCCCTGAACTACGACCAACAACGCTATCATTCTATTCCCAGGAGTAACTAGAGATATTGTATGGTTAAATGCCGCCAGTGGTCTCTACTTTCAGTGAAATCTCATTTTATTTCAAGTTAATTGCTGAACCTAAATTGTGTTAGGATTTGACCATACCAGGTATGTTATTTAGTCTAGTTATTTGTCAAGTAGACTGTCATGTCAGCTTTTCCATTAGAAACTAATGTGAATGACTAAATTGTAACAAATGTTCAAGTTCATGACCATCTTGAAACAAAGTTTCATTGGCCAACTTAGAAGAAAATGAAGTTTAGTGACGAACATGAAATTTCTGTATAAGTGCAGTTACCTGCTAGTGTTTTAACCCGATAATCATCTCCTTTTGTTCATTTCTCCTGAGTAGTGGTCGTATTTATAGGATGCATTTTGGGTGACGAAGTGGACGGTGTTCCTGGCATTCAGCACGTTGTTCCTGGTTTTGGTCGGAAGACAGCTCTAAAGCTCTTGAAAAGGCATGGTTCCCTGGACAATTTACTCAGTGCAGCTGCAGTAAGGACTGTGGGCAGACAATATGCGCAAGAAGCTCTTACGAAATATGCTGACTTTCTACGAAGAAATTATGAAGTCCTTTCTTTAAAGAAGTATGTCTGGTCTAAATGTTCTCCATTGGTGATACTCCTTTTCAATAGCCATTATCTTTTCAGTCCTTATTTTCTGATTTTTTGAGTACTATTCAAGTTCTTGATGAATTGCATATTACAGGGACATTGATGTGCATGTTGAAGAGCAGTGGTTGTCTCGGAGGGATACAAGCAATGATTCAGTTATTTTAGGCAACTTCGTGAATCTGCTGAAGGAAAAGCAGAGGCAGAATAGATCTCGTGCTATGGGTTAAGCTCCAAATAAGTTCTTTGAAGAATGCAAGGTAAAGTCGGTATATTTTTTTTCTTACTCTGCTTTGTTTCTTTTTCCTATGATGGAAAAACTTAGGGGCTGTTCTCTTTGTGTTTCATTTTTGTGTTTTGTGTTTTGAGTATCCATTTTGAGATTGTTGAAAATATGTTTTTTTGGCATTTTGAAAAATTGTTTCGAAAACACCCAAAGCGCATTTTGAAAATTTTGACTTAATTATAACTGAAAACACCCAATTTGTCGTTTTGGGTTTTCTTTCTAAATTTTTAACTTGTTTTCAAAAACGCGTTTCCGAAAATAGGAAAGAGAACGCGTTTTCACTGTTTTGGAAAATCGAAAACGGCTTGAAAATGGTAAAGAGAACATGCGCTTAACATCTTACTGGTTTAAGATTTAAGGTCTCGCAGTACACTTCCATGTTAATCTGGCTCTAAAGTAGTGGTGTCAATTGGGCTGTGCCAATTGCAACGAGGCAGAGAACGGCCAGCTAGCCTGGGCCGACCTGGGTTTTTGGTTCTTCGGGCAGCCACATTTCTCTATGGCCCGTCTCTGTCTGTAGGCACATTCCTAGGAGGTCCGGTTGAGAAGGGCCTGACTGGCCGAATGTAATGTTGTTTTGCTTTTACATTTTTGGAAGTGTGGCCTGCCGGCAATGAGGGCAGTCCCATGTTGGCTTTTCATGCCTAGCCCACTTTGACACCACTACTCTGAAGTAGTCTTTATCTCTAAATTTGTAATGCTTTTGACACTAGCATGAAATGTTTAATTTGGGCGGAAAACAAGCCAAATACAATGTTCCTAAGAGTCAAAACTGGTTGGTTCCAGTTCGACTATTTAATAATTGGGTGAATTCAGACTTGAGAGCAAAACTATTATTATCTATAATACTTGTTCCTTGACTGGCTTGAAGCCCAAATACGTGGTAGACCATTATGATTTATATATGCACGCGAATACCATGTACCAGAGTCATGCTTCATCAAGAATGCAGGATGCTGGAGTCATTGCACGGTGATGAAATAGGAGACGTGCCTAACCAATGTAGGTAAACGTGCACTCTGTTGTTATGTGTGCTTGTGTTTGCACAGGTGGTCTGACTCGTGGTTATTGCCGTTGTGCATGCAGGGATTTGTGATAATGCAGCAACTGAAGTTTCTAAGGGTACACTTCGGATCTTGAATGAAGAGTCAAGTTTAGTTACTGATGTTGGTCGTGCCATGACAGTGAATCCGAAGAAACTCTTACAGACTTGGAAAGAATTTCACTATCCATATGGAGGACATAAGCTATTTCTTTGACCGTTATCTAGCTAAAAGCTGAAGCTGTGTTCACACAACTCAATAATTTTTATAGTTGTAACGGTTGTAGAAAGATGATGAATGTGTCCATTTTGCTGAGAAATTAGTTGAAATTGGTAATAAAAACAGTAAGAAAAAGGCTTGGATTAATCATTTTATAAGAAGTATTTAAACAGTTTTTCTTTATTCTCAGTTTCCTTGTGCAACAAGTTTATTGAACTGCAAATTATAATGTACAGGATTTTAACTAATTTATTTCTCTTTTGTGATTTCTCATGCGTCAATGGCATTCGAATAAGAATTCATTTGGTGAAGAAGCCTACTCAATCTTTGAACGAGTTTCGTTTGTATTTTGAGATTTGAAATCGGCAGAAATAGAACTGAAATGCAAATAATGATTTGAGCAGGATCATTTGTATAATTACTCAAAAAAATTCATTGACCATTAATGTAATTAACCTACTTTTAGGAGTCAAATTACCGGTTGCAAAAGCTTTTATAAAAGGACCCATGGTGCAAAAATGAAAGATATGGATTCCAATTTAAAAAGAGGTTCAAAGGTTCGGAGTCCTAAGTGAAATTTTTCTTCAAAATAATTGATTGACACGATAAAAATAGACGGAAAAAATGTAGTATTCAACTCATGTGGAATGTAATAAATAGATCATTGGTTTTCAACTCATAACAAATAGATCAATAATTTTGAAGAAAATCCTCGGAAGGGGAGCTAGTGAGGAAGGCTGTTCGATTTTCTCTCGTTTTGTTATTTAAATTATTTCAAGGGAATTGAAATTTTGCAGAGTTAGGGTAAGAGGAAGGAGTCGATAGATTGAGAAGAAAAACGAAATAAAAAATATATATATTTAATTTGTTTTTCTTTTCCTCACTTTTCAATTTATTTTTGATGAAGTTAAAAATATAGTCGTACTTTTTATTTAAAATTTTGATTTTGTAATGGTTAAATGGATGAAATAAAATTGAAAGATTGAGATTAAAATTTTAATTTTAAAAGCTAAAAAACTAACTTGCTATGCATATCGTAAATAGTTTGGTGAGAGCACGATTTTCCCTGAAATCGCAATAGCATAACGTGGACCCAAAAAGTCACTATATCGAAAATAAATTTAAAAAAGAAAAAAGAAAAAAAGAGTAACGGTTTGAATTGCATGGTATCCGAATTATCAATGAAATAATTCAGGAAAGAAATGGACCCCATATCCACCCACAGGTGGAGACTTCCTGGAACCATAGTGAATATGAATATAAAATTTTATTGCTTCAGATCGATCCGTAAACCCAAAAAATAAAAAAGAAAAATTAAAGAATATAAAAATAATAAATAGATTTGACGAAGAGAATTGGGAAAGATGCTTATACATTTGGATTGAATTCAACAATACACCACCTGCCTATTCTCCATTCCCCAGTTGTTTAGATGCCATTAGCCTGCTCACAACACAAAAACAGCATCTGGGCTGTCTTTAGTCCGGTCAGTATACATCTATTATCTAATTTTCTTGGATCAGAATTTATATTTTTCTTCTATGTTTTTTCTTGAAGGTTCTTAATTATTTGTTGACTTTTCGATTTTGAGTGCTGATTTATTTGAGTTCTTGATTTGATCAAGTGTTGTGGTTATTTTGTTCTAAGGAGAAACTAAAGTTTAGTAATCTTCAAATCAGTTTCAGACTTTGATTTAAGCATTTGTGTAGAAACAAAAGAAAGAAGGAAAAATACTGAATTTTTATTGGGATTCTGAGAGCCGTGGACTGATTTTTAGATTTCTTTTCAGTTCAAATTGAAGAGAGATTTTTTAATGTTTTTTTTGGGTGTTTGTGATTTGATTTGCAAAGCAGTCTCTGATTATGCTGTATAGTATTCGCCTCGACTGCAGATCGATTTAATATTATGCTGTTGTAATATTTTCTCTTGTTCATAGTGAAAACTTGCATCCAGCGAGTGGACGTAGGACTATAAATCTGCTGTTTGCTTGTGTGTCCTTTTTTTTTTTTGCTCAATATTACTCTCATAGTTGAAACTAAGGCTTATTTCCGAAAATTAATCAAAGAATAAGGAAAGAAAAGGAGAATAAGATATGTTGAAGGCTTATACGTAAATTGAAATTACATTAAACCTAAAACGCGAAGGAATCTTTACTTAATTGTTTGGAAAACAGAGGATTTATTTTTAAGCTTCTAGGTCATGTTTGGCAGGGGATTAAGATATATAAGCTAAAATCTAGCTATTATACTTTCTAGTGTAGTGTGTACCAAACATGCACTTGGGCTTATTTTCATAGTTCAACTCTTTGCCTGAGAATTGGCTAAAATTGTTTAATGCTCCTGTTGCAGTTGTAATAGCATTGGTTGATACTCCAGAAACAAGTTTATATGGATCCGGAAGATAAGATATGCGAGGAGGATACATGGATAAAGTCTTCCTCAAGTCATGAATCTTGTGAACCGCCAAACAATCAACCTTTAACCAGTTTCGACTCATTGGAACAGAAGATGGATGGTTCGTCATTTCTTGATTACGGAACGACATTTGATGAACAATTCCCCGGTTTCAATCAGCCTTCCGTTGCCCACAAGATCAATGACAAAAATCCAATCTTGGGCAAACATTACAATCAGATGAGTGAGGCTCAACCCTCGAACAAAGTTGAAGATTGGGATCCTAGAGCAATACTAAACAATCTTTCTTTCCTGGAGAAAAAGATACATCAGCTTCGGGATATGGTGCATTTGATTGTTGGACGAAGAGAACAAGTTATGGGTCAACGCGATCAACTTTTGGTTCATCAACAGCAGCTTATCACTGCTAATCTCACTTCGATTATAGTTCAATTGATTTCTACGGCTGGGAGCCTTCTTCCATCTGTCAATCCTACTGTTTCCTCTTCGAGTGCTATCGGTTCGCTTGGGCATTTTGGTGGGGTAACGAACTCTTCAGGATTTTTTCCGAATTCTGGAATCCCGAATATTAACAATGTAAACAAAGTGGATCTGTCGAACCAAACTGATCTAACTGGTTATTGTGGGGCTGAGCAGAACTGTTCTGTTGAAGATCATGAATTAAAAAGTGATGATGATGCTGATGAAGGTGAGAACCTACCTCCAGGTTCTTATGAAATTTTGCAACTGGAGAAGGAGGAAATCCTTGCTCCCCACACCCATTTTTGCACGATATGTGGAAAGGGATTCAAGAGAGATGCCAATTTACGGATGCATATGAGAGGTCATGGAGACAAGTATAAAACTCCAGCCGCTCTTGCAAAACCCAGCAAAGAATCGACCTCTGAGTCAATGCTCATCAAAAGGTATTCCTGCCCTTATGTTGGCTGCAAACGCAACAAGGATCACAAAAAATTTCAGCCTCTGAAGACTATCTTATGCGTAAAAAACCATTACAAGAGAACTCACTGTGACAAAACGTACATTTGCAGTCGATGCAATGCGAAGAAATTCTCAGTTCTTGCAGATCTCAAAACACACGAGAAACATTGTGGTCGAGATAAATGGCTTTGCTCGTGCGGGACAACGTTCTCTAGGAAAGATAAACTTTTTGGTCATATCAGTCTCTTCCAAGGTCATACTCCTGCTATTCCTGTAGATGAACCATCTGATCCAGGACAAAGTAGTGAAGCACCGAAAGTTGGGCAAATGGATATCGACTTTAAGTCGAGTGCACCAAGTGGAAGTGCATTTCAAAATGCTATGGATACAAAATTTTCTGGAGATGATTCTACAAGTATTTCGCAATTGAATTTTGACACAAGTGACAGTGGATTCAACGAATTCCCTCGACCACCATTTGAAGATGCGGGAAGTTCATTCTCCTTTCTACTTTCTGATGCATATGGTTACCCTCCAAAGAATGGAAGATATTCAAACTCTAATGATCTAGAATAGCATCAATCTTTAGATTGAATATTTACTCTAGAGTTCTTGTTTTCAGCTGACATTGGGCTTGTAAGACATCGAAATCCATGTACCTGCAGTTGTTTTAGCAAAATAAAAAGTGTTTTGTTTAATTTCTTGATATCGTCGTATGTTACAACTTGGTGCTTTGTTTACTATCTCTTCTACTTTTGGAAACGCGGCGTTTAATCAAGTTTTGGGAGTGGTTAGAAGTTTCTGTTTGTACAAATTTCTGTAGCGACGTGAGAAAAATAAAGCTCAGCTAAATGGAGACAATCAACAAACTAAAACATCGTAATAGCCGGATAAGTAATTTCCATAGTGGCAAGTCCTATTAGAAGTAAGCCCTCGCGAGACTGCTGGCGTCGCTCAATTTTCTTCTAGTGTGTTTCACCCTACGAATCAATAGACAGAAAGTAGGGGAAATTTTTAATTGACATAGCAGCATTTTAGAATGAAAAGAGAAATTGAGATTGACATTCTATATAATATTTCTCGACACCAATCCTCTCGATACTCCATAATTAACTTCTACAAATCGGAGATCGAGAGCAGAAATTATAGCTTAAGTTGTTTAGCTGACAGAACTAATCTTCCTGAAATTGGAATTGTGCAATAGTACGAGTTTCAAGCCCTTCACCCCTTCTCCAGATTTCGACAGCTTCTTCAGAGGACCGGGATAATATTTATCCTTGAGGACAACATCGTCTGCAAAAGTCCAAGTCGGTCCTCTCGGAGAGCTGTCCATGTACAAAAACCTGCCGGAGAATGGATTCACTAAACTATCGCGGAATTCTTCTGCTGTTTCGCAAATTACACCCTGTAACAAACAATAAAGCAGAACCATTAATTTCATCCAAATAAATAAAAGCGATGGTGTCAGGAGAGAGAACTATGTGGGTTGTCATATCTTACTTCTGACATGGCCTTGATCTTGAGAGTAACATCATCACTAAGAAGGACAAGTTGTCCATCATTCCTAATTCGTTTGAAGAAAAGAGCGCATTCAAGGATATGATCTTCTGTGGTAGGTGTAACAATATCCTGTATACTACATGGAGAAAATGGAGACGAGCCAATAGAGAATATGCCCTTCTCCTCACAAAACCAAGATAAAGGAGAAGAAGGTGGGGTCGGTGCAACTGGTCTTCGTCCTTCAGCCAAGCTCTGCACATGTATCCACCCTTCTGCATCGTTCATACACTCTTCAATCCATTGCAGTGCTGCAGAAACCTCTGTTGTCCGTCTAAAGAAATTGCCTCGTCTCAACATGCAATCCAGTTCTCTTATGACTAATATTAATAAAAAGGAATATTAAAATTTCATAACAATGCGAAGTGATATTTATGTGACAGTATACTATAGAAGTAAATTACCAATTCTAGGAACTATCAAACTAGTCCCCTTGAGACCTCGCAAAAGCTGCAATTCCTTCCTTGAATTTTTGTTTAGCAAACATGCAACGTCCACCACCATGGTCCACCTTTTGACTTCCTCCTTAATGGTCTTGTTCTGCATTCATGTAAAATAAATATCACATCCATAAATATCATCTAAAAGAAATAATGAAATCTTGAATATAATTCCTGAAAGAAGAAGATGAAAACATATATTTTTCTTCCTAGCCACATTTTCTGCACATAGTGACATTCTTAGGACATTTTTCCACACATGAACATCAGTTTATCCCTAGCAACTATGTAAAGTAACTCCAGTTATTAGATAAAAGAAAACACTAAAGTTTGCATTTGCAAAAATATGATTCCTTGACGTAAACAAAGAGAAAATAAAAATTCTGTCTAATATACCTCAAAAGGGTGAATGACCTCTTCAAGTCGAACAGAGTTGATAGATTTGCCACTTCTCATAGTGGCATCAAGGTCCGAAGCTTTTGACTTAGTCTTACTGTTACTGGTGGAGTTCGCAAGCAGAGATTGAAAAGGTTTTCTATCTGCTGTAGTCTTCATTAACTTCTTCTCCAACCAAGTATGACTTTTTGATGCAGGATTCACTAATTTCTGTTTTTGAAGAACTTTCAGAGTCTGATTTTCTTTATCCAAAGAAGTAGGCATATACATGTTACAGTCGACAACGGTCTTCAACGGCCATGATCTGTATGACTTCAGATTCTCAACTTCTTTCAACTTCCCCATCTTCTTCGTGTACCTCAGTCGAAGAGCATTTGGAGTCAAATTCTCTTTGTCTGGAGCGAAAATTTCTTCTTCATCCTCATCAAGACAAGAAAACATAGTCTTTGAAGTTGGGTCATTCCTTAAATTCTCTTGGTTCTCGACATTTTTCAACTTCCCCGTCTTGTTCATGTACCTGAGCCGAATAGTATTTGGAGTCATATTCTCTTTGTTTGGAGTGAAATTTTCTTCATCATCTTTGTCAACACAAGAAAACGAAGTTTGAGAAATTAAATCGCTTCTCGAATTCTCTTGACCTTTGTTCTCCAATGACTGAAGTATAAGAGAATTGGAAGAGCAATTCTCCTTGTCTGGAGTAGAGATTTGATTTTTATCACTGTCACTTCTTGTAAAAGGATCTTCGGAAACTGATTCAGTTTGAGAATATCCACAGGTTGGTGATTTAACTTCAGAATTGTCTGGAGTGAAAATTTCTTCCTTATCCTGATTTACACCAGAAAATATAGTCCTCGAGTTCTCCTGACTCATGTTCTCCAAGGACTGAAGTATAAGAAAATTGGATGAGCTATTCTCCTTTTCTGGAGTAAAGATTTGTTTTTCATCACTATCACCACTAGAAAAAGCACAGAGGGGAACTGTTTCAGTTTCGGAATATTCACGAATAGGTGATTTAACTTCAGCATTGTCTTGAGTGAAAATTGCTTCTTCATTCTGAGCTACGCAAGAAGATGAAGTGATTGAAATGAATTCGCTCCTCAAGTTCTCCCGACCTATGTTCTCAAGGGACTGAAGTAGAGGAGAACTGGGAGAACAATGCTCCTTGGTAGTAAAGATTTGTTTTTTATCAATGTCGTCACTAGCAAAAGGACCTTTGGAAACTGATTCAGTTTGGGAATATTCGCAAATTGGTGATTTAACTTCAATATTGGCTGGAGTGAAAATAATTTCTTCATCCCAATCTGCACAAGGAAAAAGAGTCCTTGAAATGAATTCACTCCTCGAATTCTCCTGACCTATGTTCTCCAAGGACTGAAGTAGAGGAGAATTAGGAGAGTGATTCTCCTCGACTGGAGTAAAGATTTGCTTTTTAATAATGTCGCCACTAGCAAAAGGTTCATGGGAAACCGCAGGTTGGGAATATTCATGGATTGGTGATTTAACAGAGGAATTAATTGTAATCCTTGCACTCTTTCCTCTACTCCTGATTTGAATCTGAACGCTGTCTGGTTTACCCCTTCTTGACCAAATGCTCAAACCAGATGTTTTCTCCAATTGCACTTCAGAAATAACTGAATTTTCTATTTGAGATACTGCTTGAGACACTTCCGAGGCAAAAGGCACAACATCTAGTGTGCTGTTTTCTTCATGGTCTATTTCAAGTGAGTTATTATTCTCAACTTCCTCTTTGTCAGAGAATGAATAGTTCATGTCTTCAGGCATTGGAGGCGCTGATGGATTCATTTTCCGGACAGATGAAATCAGGTACTTGTTTGCGAAGAGCGGTTGTAGACCTTCCAAATCATCAATCGGTCTCTGAATTGAATCTTTTTCTCCATTCAAATCGTTCTCATCCTAGAACATGAAATTATAGAAATGAAAGGGAAAATCAAACATATGATCCAATATAACACTATTTGTATAATAATATTTTTGCATGTTGATTTCTTATAATTTACAGGATAATATTCTCCTTCTGTTTCTTCTACTGCATCTGATGTATCAAATGGAGGCACAAATGGGTTGTCTAAATCATAAGCACGTGTGATTGGAAGCCAATGTAGCCGGTACAACCTACGTGATCCCCCAAGCTGCATTGTATCACCTTCTTTCAACTCTACCGTAACCCCGGGTTCAATTTTCTTTCCAGAAATCCAAGTCCCGTGTACTGGAACAGAAACCCCATAAGTTAGTAATCAAGAAAACCTCATCAAATTTCAATCTCCAGTCATACAATAACAAACTTATAAAACACGTCAACATATTCATTGCCCCCATACATCCAACTCGAAGCACTGAGACTCGAAATTTGGTATTTTGAGTGAGAATCAATATTCCAAAAATAAGAATAATATATCCAGAGAGAGAGATCCATTATCAGATGATAAAAATTCGTAGATAACTATTTAAAGTAAGAAAAATATTCACTTACTCTAGTAATTCCTACCTATTAAGAAAACTGCGTGACTGCAGGCCAAATTCTATTAATTTCATTGAGAACTACCGAAGAAAACTGACAAAATCGAAACCAAGTATAATAAGGATTCAAGGGAGGAGGAAACCCAAATCAAAATAATATCGTCTGCTTGTTCTGTATATACACGCACAAGGGAGGAGGAATCAAAAGCACACGATCCAACTTCCAAGGCAAAAAGGAAATCCCCAAATCAAGATTTCAAAACTTGTGTAAACACATAACAAGAAAGTGAAAAGAGGAGAAATTGTACCAGAATTCAAGTCAATGACAGAGAGGAAGTGCGAGGAAGGGTTGGAATGGACACGGAGGTGGAATCTGCTAATACTGGGATGTTCCAATGCGATATTGCAATCGGGATGGCGTCCAACCAACAATGTTTCTTCCTTCATTGATTCTTTTCCATACTTGGAGTTGAATTCCACTGAAGAAGAAGGTAATGAAGGTGGGTTGTCCAGGAGATAGATATTCTTGAGAATAGAATTGTTCTTTAGCACTGTAAAAACTGGAATTTCCGATTTCATTTCTGATTGTTCTTGCTTGTAAGCCATTGCACAGAGAGAGAGAGAGAGAGACTGTGTGTGAGTTTTTCTTGTTCCTCTAAACGTCAGAAATAGGAGTACTGTTGTGATATGAAACGGGCTAAACGGCTACTTCTAATTCAAACCAAGAAGTTAATGAATAGTATTTATCTGGTTTGAATTTTTTCTTTTTATTTTTGCTGGCATTTTTTACTTATTTTTCTTTTAAAATCCCAATCCCAATATCTTTGATATATCATAAGACAGGAAGCTATTATTTCCTTAGATTTTTTTTTTTCATATTACGATTTAATCGAGTCAAATCACCAATGAACCCAACACTATCTATAAATATGCAAATATAAATAGGTGCATATATATATACAGAAATGATCAGAATTAATGTGCCAACTTATCAGTACTTAGAATAAGATGAACACCGGTGCTCATTAGATCATTTCTGTATATATATATATATAAAATACAGAATGATCATGCAATTCTTAGCATGTCGTCTACTTTAGAAGGCTCATCAAGACACACTTGCCTCTAAATAAACTTTATAGATTTATACTTTATTTTGTCAAAACAAATTCTCCCATAAATTCTTCACCAAGTGATGTAGATGGAAGAGTCCAAAATTGAATTACAAAGTGTCACAAACCACGAATATCGATTTGAATGGAATTAATTGAATTTTCTCACTTGGTACCTGCACTCCCATAAATCATTAAAATTGACATTTTTAATGAAAATGAAAAGATGACCGACAGAAATATATTTGAAAAATAATAAAAAATAGAAATAATCGATAAATTTAACAGCTCTCATTTTAGTAACAGTAACAGTAATAGTATATATTGGTTTAAAATGCCATCACCATAATCACTAACACCAAAAATAATAAAATGTAGAACACAAAAGCCGATCCTTCATCTCATTTCGAACCAAAACGAGGAGAAATTCCTGCAAGAGAACGTGGCAGAGTACGAGAAACAAGAAATCCAAACTTCCAGTGAATTTTCAACAATGAACCCAAGGAATCTAACTATAGGAGCAAAACTGTTCACTCCTCTTTGCCCCGAGCTAGTCTTGTTCGATGTCTAAGTTCAGCCCTTTTCCATCTAACAATCAGATGACAAAGTGAAAATAAGGTGTTCACCTGCAAATAGAAGTAAAGCATGAATTGCTCAGGTGAGAAACCATCACAGGAAGAATAAAAAGTACGCATTTTGTCTATTGCACGTTGTTGAAACAATTTTAACTTCTTTTTCATCCTTAATACTGTTCAAAATTATTCAATCTTCCGAGTCAAATGCCACTGGGTTATTGAACACTGACCAGGATTATGATTGCAATCACCAGCAGCGGTCCGGACCAGAGTACGGAGAGAAAAAGTCCACGCGGGTCGAAATAATTTTGCCCTGCAAAGCTTTTCCAGTTTCCAGCCAAGAAACTATTAAGCCTTTCAGCAAGATACACTCCTCCCACTGCATAATGATGCTACTGAATTAAGTAAACTGCATTCGGAAATGTATCTATGCCCCCATTTGACAACCATTATTTGGGTAAAATGGAGTTTTAAATAGTGATTTTTTAAAGAATGTGTGGTTAAAAAGTAGGAAAAAGTTTGGGATTTACATGCGGAATATTTTATTGTGTGAATGTGTGGTTGAAAATGAGTACGTAGAAAAAAAAGTTTTTAAATGATGATTGTCAAACAGGGCCTACATAAACTGCATTTGAGGCTACATAAACAACAACATAATTACATGAATGTTATTTGCCTTCTTACTCTAGTAGCTCATAATTACATAAATGTCGTTTGCTGGAGTGAGATGAGATTAATAGCATGTTTGGCAGATCAGCCCATAGATCAGGGTCTAACATTTTCTTATAGAGTGCTAAATTTCGGGAAAATTGTAGCCCAGTTTTTTAGCAATACAGATCACAGTGACTCCCTTAAACAGGCATCGAATATTAATGAACTGAGTGCATGTTTGGTTAATCATAGACAAACAATGGAAACAAACGTGAATGCATATATTTAGCACAAGTTTATCAACAGGCATGCACAACCTTTTTTTCAAGAAAAAAAGCAGCTTGCAGAAAAGGAGTTACAGCAAGATACACCTACGTGCAAGAAGGAACAAGCACATCTGAAAGTTGATATTCTTCCTAGACACTAGAGTTAGTAGAAGCAAAGCCACATGGAAGGAAAGAAGACATATCAACCAAGGTTCCTGCAGATGAAGTTTAAAGATCAGAAAGACGAGCAAAAGGGTTCACGTGAATAAGGATATAGTATCATCCTGAACAGATATAACACCAGAAAAATGACAGAATAAAAACATTAAATGAAGAATGATATGTGAGATGAGTAAATAACTTATGGTCGATATATGAACTGACAAAATCTATCTGGAAGTTCCAATCACTATAAAAGAAGAAACAAATCATTTAGATTTTCCTCTAGTGACTTCCAAGTGTCGCCATAAGTCAAATCAATATCAGTTGCCACCTTATTCCATTTCAGCAGCCTCCCCTGCTAAAGCAGCATGTAAACTGATTTCCACCTGTTTCATACTATCTCATAGCAAGTGAATGAGAAAAGAAAGAGAGAGGTAGAGAAGAAGATAGAGCAAAGAAGTGAAAATGAATGTTTAAAAGAAAACAGAAGAAAAGCTGAAGTTGCAGAAAAAAATGGAAGATTGTACAACCCGACCTCTATATCCAAGTAGTCAACTCATGTGCTGTTCGCTATACGAGAGTCTGAGTTCATCTTATCCCTCACGGATTTATATCGCCTCTCTCAGGATTTCAATCTTACCCCTCACGGACCAATTGGTACTAGGATTCAATTTAAATTTCTCATAAAATAGAGACCTTAGGTTCGAATCTTGAGGGGATGCGATAGAAATCCGTGGCAAGTAAGCTAGGTTCAAACTCTCCTATAACGGAAAAGTCATGTTGTGTAACGACCAGAGCTTCTTTGCCCAAACTGTTAATTTACGTACCGTTCGATTTGGAGAGTCCGAGCTCATCTAACCCCTCGCGGAATTCTATTGCATCCCCAAGAATCAAATCCAATACACCCATTTCTCACAAAGTAGATGTCTTGCGTTCGAACACAGTGGACGTGATAGAAAACCGAGAAAAGTAAGAGGGCATATGCCCTTCCAAAACAGACATTACGTATGATAATGATTTAGGTATGGGCATTACAAAAAAGTTGTTCAATTGATACCAAAATTCAACTTAAAGTTCTCATGAGGTAGATGTCCTGAGTTAGAATTCTGATAACGCGATATAAATTTGTGACGATAAGATGAACTCAAGCTCTCTCAAAGAAGATAGTATGTAAGTTAATGACTTGGGTATAGATGTATGTTCGTTTCAAAAGTGCGTGTTCTTTGTAACGATCCGATCTCCATGCTCTAATACGTAAGTTAACTATTTGGGTACAGAGGCCAGGTTGTTACAAAGAAATTCCTTTGAACTGGTTCTAGAAAGAGAATTCCAGCAATCATCAGCTTTATTGTAACAGTAGGGAACAATTCTTTTCCAAACCTAATCCATTCCTTCTAATAAACCATTGACAACAGAACTCAACAAAGATCCCACTACAATTAGAATATCTTCGATTATTTTTTCGACATGATTTGATGATTAGAGTGATCAAAAAAGATATAAATCATTTTTTCAAGGGTTAGAAATAAAAGATTTGGATTTTGCTACTTGTACACCAGGTTGATGGTTGTTATGAGTTTTTACATATATACAACATATGTATATATAGTAAGATTATTTTCCTTATTAGATAGGATTATTTCCTAATGAGAAATATCCTCTCTATGTATATATATGTGTAACCCATTTATGAAATCAATATAGAAAATAAGTTATTCTCCCAAATCAAATCTCTACATGGTATCAGAGCAAGGTTTCTAAAGTTTGGTATTTTTCTTCCGCTTCCTTTCTTTCCTCTTCTTCTAACTTTTCTTTTCTGGTAGGGAGTGTTATGTTAGTTGGTATTGGTTAAAGACAGCAGAACCCAAGTATAGTTATGGTCCCTTTTTAGTTATCTGTTAATCATGGCTGACAGTGATAAGAAAATGGTGAACAAAATCACAAATACCCCATCATCAAAAATCACAGAAAGAAAGTTAATGAGCAGTAGGAACTATGCTCGATGGAAAAGAATTGTTCGTAGGCATGTGTCAAATTCAAAGTTAAATAACAATTATCATAATAAAGGAGGAGGGGGAGTAGTCGAGATAGAATTTCTAGTGGCGGTTCTCGTGGTTGTTAATATTGTGGAGAGCAAGGACATGTAAAAAGGAACGGTTGGAAATTGAATGGCAAACCATCAAAGTACACAAGTCAAACTTCTATTAGGAAATTTGCCAATGTTGCCACTTAAGATGGTCTTCTACCTACACCTCCTACACTTCTATCTCAGCATCAAATTACGATTCCAGCAGATGAATATACTCGCCTTACACAATTTTAAGCTTCTCAACAGTCCGCTCTTCAACAACCAATTACACCTTCCACTTCCACTTTAGCCAACACAAGTAATTCTGTTGCATGTTTCTCTACCTCGTCCCGCAATTGGGTCATTGATTCCGGTGCCACGGATCATATGACTGGAAATACATGTATACTTACATCATTTTAGTCTTCTTCTAATTTACCATATCACTTTAGCTAATAGCTCTAAAACTCCTATAGTCGGATGCGAGACAACACGTCTAACAAACTCTTTACCATTGTCTTTTGTTTTATGTTTACTTCAGTTTCCTTTCAATCTTTTATCTGTGAGTCAAATTACTAAATCTCTTAATTGTAGTGTTATTTTCTTTCTTAACCACTACGTTTTTCAGGATCTTGAGACAAAGAAGATTATTGGTAGAGGGCGTGAGCTCAATGGCTTGTATGTGTTGGACTCTTCTCCTACACCGGTGCCAAAGTCGATTGCATGCACTAGTACTTCTTCTCTTCTACAGTTCCATTGTCGCTTCGATCATCCTTTTCTTCCAGTTTTGAAAAAATTATGTCCTAGTCTTAGTCAAGTGTCTCAATTAAATTGTGAGTCGTGTCAATTAGCAAAACACCACAGGGTGCCATATTTCCCTAGAATGAATAAACGGGTTGCATCCTCTTTTGATTTAATACATTCTGATATTTGGGGTCCTTGTCCTATTTTATCTAAAACTGGTTTTCACTATTTTGTTACCTTTGTGGATTATTATTCTCGGGTTACTTGGTTATATTTTCTGAAAAACCGTTCAAAATTATTTTCATTTTTTTGTGCCTTTTATGCTTAGATTAAAACTCATTTTGATAAATCTATACGTGCTGAGGAATATTTCCCATCCACATTTACTTCATTTCTCTCACAAAATGGCGTTCTTCATCAATCTTCATGTGTCGTTACTCTACAACATAATGGAATTGCAGAACGAAAGAATCGTCATTTATTAGAGGTTGCACGAGCTCTTCTTTTTCATATGAATGTTTCAAAAGAATTTTGGGCAGATACAGTATCTAATGCATGTTACTTAATCAATCGAATGCCTTCCTCTGTCTTAGATGGTAAGATCTCTTATTCCATTCTGTTTTTTCTTAGACTTTATTCTCCCTTGCTCCTAGAATATTTGGGTGCACTTGCTTTGTCCAAGATATGAGACCTCAAGTTTTCAAGATTCATCCTAGATCCCTTAAGTGTATATTTTTGGGTTATTCTCGACATCAAAAAGGTTATCGATGTTTTTCTCCTTCCTTAGGACGATACTCAGAATCTACTGATGTCACCTTCTTTGAGTCCACGCCCTTTTCTAATACTTCTGTGTCTTCTACTCCATCTTCTATTGAGTCTGATGATGATTTCCTTATTTACATCGTAACTACACCTGTGTTACCGTATCTTCTCGTCCATCTATTCGAAATGTTTACACTCGTTGTGTGCAACAATCTTCGGTGGCACCAGCTACTAACCATGACTTACAACCTCTACTTGTTGCTTCGCATCCGGATTCGTCACCCCCTCATGATTTTAGTCTTGATCTTCCCATTGCTCTCCGAAAAGGTAAACGGTCATGTACTTATTCTCTCTCTTCTTTTGTTTCTTATCATGCATTGCCACCTTTTTCTAAGTCCTTCATTGCTTCCTTAGAGCACGCGTTCTTATCGAAATCTATCTCTGAGGCTTTGTCTCACAGTGGCTAGCAAGCGGCCATGCAAGAAGAAATGCTGGCACTGGAACATAATCCCACTTGGGATTTGGTTCATCTACCCCTCAATAAATAGGTAATCGGGTGTAAATGGACGTTTACAGTCAAGATGAATCCTGATGGATCTGTTGCTCGATTGAAGGCTCGTTTGGTTGCTAAGGGGTATGCTCAAACTTATGATGTGGATTACTCTGAAGCTTTCTCTCCTGTTGCTAAGCTAGCTTCTGTTCAGTTATTCATTTCTCTTGCTGCTACCTATTATTGGGCACTTCATCAACTAGATGTGAAAACGCATTCCTCCATGGTGATTTTGCTCAAAGAAGTTTACATGGAGCAACCACCCAGAGTTTGTTGCTCAGGGGGAGTCAGGGAAGCTATGTAAACTGCAAAAGTCATTGTATGGTCTGAAGCAATCACCCTGTGCCTGGTTTGGAAGATTGGAAGATTTAGTGAGGTTGTGACTGAATTTGATTTGCAAAGAAGTGCATATGATCACTCTGTATTATTTCAACAATCTACAGTTGGGTGTATTTTGTTAGTGTATGTTGATGATATTGTAATTACTGATAGTGATAGCAATGGCATAAGTATGTTGAAAGCTTTTCCTGAGCACAGGGTTTCGGACAAAGGAGTTAGATCCTTTGAAATATTCCTTAGGGATAGAAATCTCTCGAAGCGGTAAAGGAATTTTTCTCTCTCAAATGAAATATGTCCTACAGGTACTAGATGACACAGGTTTAGCTTAAGTAAAACCTTGTGATACCCCCATGATACCAAATGTGAAACTTGGAGCAGAAGATAGAGATGTTTTTGTTGATGTAGACAAGTACAGGAGGGTAGTGGGAAAATTGAACTATCTCGTCCAGATATTGCCTTTTGAATAAGTCTTATTAGTCAATTTATGTCATCTCCTAGAACTTCACATTGGGATGCTGGGACTCATATATTAAAATATCTTAAAGGAGCTCCAGGACGTGGGATTCTTTATAAAGACCATGGTCATTGTAAAGTTGAAGGTTTCTCAGATGCTGACTGGGCAGGTCTCCTGTAGATAGGTGCTCTACTAGAGGGTTGTGTTTTCGTTGGAGGTAATCTAGTCTTTTCAAGTAAGAAACAAAGTGTTGTTGCTGGATCAAGTGCAGAATCTGAATATCGGGCTATGGCACAAGTGACTTGTGCTTCTTATGTGGCTACATCACTTACTTGGGGAGATGGGCATTGATAAGTCCCACTTTATGAACTTGTGGTAAGATAATCAAGCAGCTATTCACATTGCCACTAATCCGATATTTCATGAGAGAGCAATGCACATAGAGGCAGATTGTCATTTTGTTCATGAGAAGTTGCAACAATGATTGATTTTAACTAACCATATCAAGACAAATGATCAATTAGCTGATGTGTTCACTAAGGCCTTAGCTGGGAATCGAGTAAACTATATTTGTAACAAGTTGGACATGATTGATATTTATACTCCAGCTTGAGGGGAGTGTTATGAGTTGTCTTTACATATATACAACATATGTATATATAGTAAGATTATTTTCCTTATTAGATAGCTCTATGTATATATGTGTGCAACCCGTTTATGTAATCATTATAGAAAATAAGTTATTCTCCCAAATCAAATATCTACAATGGTGTACACCCCCCCCCACCCCCCCCTCCTCTCTCTCTCACTCTCACAATAGGGGGTTCATGCCCAATAAAAAAATTGTGGGCCCTCTATTGTGAGGGATGTTGTACACCAGGGTGTAGCAAAACCCAGAAGATTTACATTAAGAGATGCTTAAAAGAAAGCTTTTAAGCAATCTGTTATGTCCTCTTTATATGAATAAGCAACTCGAGCTTAGTTTAGAAACTTAATGTGCATCTAAGAACTTTAGAAAAGAAGTAAAGTAATACTACTTCTTTCTGTAATTGCTTATGAGCACTTAAGTGCTTTGTTTCAGCTGATAACCTATGGGTGCAAATTTTCATCCAAAGTAATTCCAAAACATTTGGTACCCCTTTTATTTTTTCAATCTTCTAAGATGCTTTTATTTCAAAGAAAAAACTTCAAAACAGCAATTTTAAAAAGAAATAAAATAACAACTTGGAACCTAAAAAAACACAGATTCATGAACAAAATATGATCTAACTGTAACATTTTCCAATGATTGGTTGATCGTAACTTCAATTATTTCAAGAAATAACAGAATTTACTCAAAATCCACGAAGTAATAAGGGGCAAAACTAACATACTATGTACACAAGGATGCACTTTACATTCTGGTAAGGAATCTGCTAAAGTTTGAACATATTCCAGTCCACTTATCAAATGGGTTCTCAATATATTCAATTCTTCTGACAAACAACAAATTAATTAAGACCCACCAACAACGAAAATAACAGGAAATAAATTATATTCACAATCACACACGTTCCCGTATATATACACGAGATTATAGATGCAAATATGAATCAATAAGTGAGTTTTTATGCATAGTACCTTCCAATCAATGGCATGGAAGAAGCCCATTAAATTTTCATAAGCAGGGTTGAGTCCAGAGCGGAGTTCAGCCGTCAATTTTTCCACTAGATCTGCCATTTGATCCATGTGAGCATTCAGAGCAGATTGCAACTCCTCCATTTTTTCTTATTTACTTGATGTCGATATAAATCTTGAAGGGTTCAATTGTCTACTTTCTTGGTTTTCTCCCAAATCCAGAGTGCTCTAGAAGACGCGGCAATGGTCGCTATTCGCACACACTACTTTTTATGCACAGATAAAGTTGGCTACGCTTAAACTTTAAGTGATACGCTTTTAGATTAGTATAAAAACAAATTTAGAGTTAGTTTGGTATGGATTTTTTTGGGGAAGAATTCATTTTTGAATAGTGATATGATCGGAATGTGTGGTTGAAAAAGAAGAAAAAATTGTTGATTGAAAAATATTATTTTATTGAAAAATGTGTGATTGAAAATAAGAATTGATTTGAGAATCAATTCTCAAATAAAAAACAAACACCCCTAAATTAGTCCAAATTAAAGAAGTAAAATGGGATTGGCCTTCTAAAGCACATGGGGACTACCCCTGCCATATGGAGATAAACAGGGTCAATTGAATAAGAATTGATTTGAGAATCAATTATCAAATAAAAAACAAACACTCCCTTATTTAGTGCTTATTTGGTAGGAATTTTTTAGGGAAGAATTGATTTTTGAATAATGATATGATGGGAAATGTATAGTTGAAAAAGAAGAAAAAATTATTGATGTGATGGAAAATATTAATTTATTGAAGGATGTGTGGTTGAAAATGAGAATTGATTTGAGAAGCACACAACAATCTTCAACCATTGGCGCCGACGTCAATGTCACCTCCACCGCAAACTGATGATGACACCCTTTCCGGCTAACACCCATGCTGAAGCCACCAAACAAAATCCTTTCAAGCGTGTCCCATTTCAATTTGATGCATCCCGCGACCCGCATGCTTCAAGCCATGAATTAAACTGGGAAGAATGAAATTCAGGTCCTAATAACTATGGAAAACACACCAATTGAATTCCCAATTCATGACCCACACATGGATTCAAATAATCCCATTAAACCTGAACCTTGCATTTGAAGTTTGATAATCCACAAATTTCTCACCGAATTTCCACTCAAAAACAAATTTAGCTAGAGATTTGAGACGGTGGGAGAGAGTGGGGAGATGATTGAATGTGAGGACTTTGATGAGGAGAGTGAAATTTGGGCTTGGATTTTTGTAAATCGAGCCACCAGAGCTGGTGGTGACGGCCGCTTCCGTATCAGTTTTTTTTTATCCTTCTTAGGCAAATCTTTGGAATCTGAAGGTTCGGCCCACGTATTAATTTGGTATAGGACAAGTGATGATGGTCTCGATAAGGTAAGCTCTTGGTTGAGAAGCCCATTTTTGTTGACGTCGGTGATGAGAGACGGGTGGGGGTGATTTTGGGTTTGGGTGTGGGGTTCGTGGGAGTGGAGGGTGAGTAAAGAAGAGATCTTTTCTTCTCTTTTATTTTTAAATTTTTTATTCAATTATCTTTTTAATTAATTATTTTAATAGATAGTTACCATTATGTTCTTTTAAAATTGATTAAAATATAGTCAAACTTAATTTTGGTGGTCAACTGACGGAAAAATAGATAGAAACCATCCAAAATGGCCCAATATGCAATGGTTGGAAATGTTAGAGGTGAATGGTGTAACAAATGAAAGATTTGAAGAAAGTCTGCTAATGTTTCAAAGGTTTGGAGCTATTGCTGCAATTATCTCCATCATAATCACATTACAATTAAAATATATTTTTAATAAATATATCACAATAAATTTACAATTATACTCCTAATCCAATAAAAAATTTTAAAAAATAATATTGTGGTGTACTAATCATCTCAACATTACCCCTCATTTTTCTCATCATTTCCACTTATATTTTTTTTCGGAAACTTGAATGCAGCGCATTAGGAAGATTATTATTCCTGATCCTTCTTGCTGAAGATCACAAGACCCCATCATAATTCTTTCATTTCTATCAACCCAATGCATGAAACTAATGAATTTTCAGTGCCTTTACCTCTGCAAAAGGAAAGTGAACAACCCATCTAGCTTTCTATTTTATACTAGTTTATCGCCCGTGCACTGCACGGGCAACGTAATTTTCAAGGTAATGTTAGCGTTGAAAAGAAGTTTTGATAAAGATTCTAACCTATTGATAATTGAATAATTCTTACGTACAGGAAAATTATTCAGAGGGCACTTACGGGCCTAATCTTAAATTCAAATGTCTGAATAGCTTATACTATCTGAGATTTGCATTGCTCGGTGTCGAATATGAGAAATTTATAAAAAGAAAGAAAATGAAAGCGGAATGGCTGGGTTGTTAATATAATGCCAGCGTTAACAATTAGATTTCAAAAATGAAGTTGGTAGAATTGTCTGGTGAGATGATGATGTAATAGAATTGATTCAAATGTGGAACAGAAATTGAAAAAGTGAAAAAAAAAATGTAGAAATGATGTTCCCTGTATTGTATCATCCAAAGGGAAAATGTTAGCACAGTTTCCATATTTAACATGAGGACACTGGTGCAAAGATATAACATTCCCAAGACGAATCCTCAAATTTGTTCCGACGACCTTGTTCATCTTGATTTTTGGCTCCTAACAGGTGTCATGAGCAAGTGCAATGCAAACCGTATCTTTCCTTTCTTCCCCTGGAAACCATATGAGAGCACATATATAAATTTGACTTCATGAGAAACGAGATGTATAACAAATTGGTCAGTAAACCTAAGTATATTATTTAATGTCATATATTGCCAGAATCTGCGGAAAGACACGAGTCAAATTCAATGGTACTATATTAAAGGTGAAAAGGGTTGCTCAGGCAGCATAGAAAGAAAAAGCTGAGAAAAACCAACCTGCTATACGATCATCGGCTCCCCCTCGAGACTAAGTGGTTCAGTCAATATAGTGGAAAAACCATTTCTATTTCCATAAACAATATCCGTGAAGGGCCGATCACCCACCTATCATTTACATAACAAGTTTATTGTGCAATAAAATAATTAAACTAAAAGACAAAATAGAAAAAGTAACAAGAGCATAGATTGATCATCTATACAAATCTCATTACCATGATAATTCTTGAAGACTGAGAACCAAAGTGCTTTTCAATTTCTTCAGCAGTTTCAACTGGCTTCTTAACCCCTAGATTGGACAAATAATCAAAGAAAACAATTAATTAATACTATTCCAGTGTCTAAATGTGAGCATTACCCTAATCTTGATTGATATATTTAACAGAGTCCACCAAATCAAATGCATACCCAAAACACAAGAAATTTGGGAAATAAGACAAGTTAAATGACAGCGTTGTAGCTGATGAATCGAAAAAAA